AAAAAAAGACCCCAGATCCTGACCCAGAATCAGTTTAGGAGACATGAGTGAAGATTCGTGCTACTCAGTGTTATACCAACATCTGCTTCTTTTTAGTCTGTAGGTGGCCCTTAAAGCTTCCCCACGTATAACGATACAAAGTGACGCTAAATGCAACAGTGCGTCAAGAGAACTATACACCACTCAAAAATTAAAATTGAATTAAGGAGGCTATCAAGCAACCCTTTTGGTTCTTTACTATCGAAGATAAATTTTCGTGGACCCCCACTTAGAACCCGTGGACCCCTGGGGGTCCACCTGGACCAATTTGGGAATCACTGATCTATACTATTTATATAATAACTAGCGGACCCGGCGAATTGCTTTCATATATCTCCATACCAAGTTCGAATACTCTACCATGAACATTTCCAGAGATATGCAATATGAAAAATTCGGTTTGAATGGGAGGTGCCACGCCCCCGGAACTTAGCGGCATGAAATATACTTTACATCCGATTCTCATTCCTACCATATATACACAAAAAATTGCATAAAGATGGGTCGAGCCGTTTAGGAGGAGTTCGACCACAAACACCGTGACACGAGATTTTAAAATATTAGATTTTTTTTTGGTAACAGGTAATCTCGCGAATGGCTGGTCCGATTTTCATAAAATTTTGTCATGTCATTGGCAAAAAATTACTTTTTTTCCGTAGGTGGAGCAGGCACCGATCTATTCGAAAATGTCGTATTTAAGGTCCAGTTTGCTTGAAACTTGGCACGTGGGTAGCTGTTTACCGAAATTAACATATAGGATTCGTTTTTTCCGGTCAGTGGACTAGGGACCGATCTATTCGAATGCATCTAATTTATGGTAAGTAGGTAGTTTATTGCCTGGATTAACATATAGGATGTTACTCAGTAATCTTTGTCTTTTGGATCGAAGCGTATTATGTGTATGAACAAGCATTTAATTTACGTGCACCACAACTCTAAAGAAACCCCACTTTTCAGCACTGATAAATCTTTAGTAACTTACAAAACTGTAAAATTTTATTCGGAATCAGCGTGTCACTTTATTACAAAATTGTCAAAATATTTTCACAAATTTCATTCAGTTGTAATTGCATAAATACATACTTATACATAAGTATGTGACTGAAAGGCAAAATTTCTGCTTTAAAAATGCTGTCCGATTCAGCGGTTAGCAGTGACCATTCCGACGGGGACTTGATGCCCGCGAATTACCACTGGATACGCTTTAAATGGATGCTATTCAAGGATTCCTGCAAACATTGGAATAACATTCCCGTATTTTTGTTTGCTCTACTAATGCCTAGCATCTGCTGTTTGATTATTATTATTCTACGTTATCAGATACCAGGTCAACATATAACAGCGACGAATTTCCCGGTAACAAATATTCGATTCTCGTGGCTTAAGTTATTAATGCTCATAACCGAACGTCAACAAAAATTTGCCGAATACCATGGCGGGTAGGTAACTTTATGCCCGCATGTCACAAATAAATATGTATATATACACAAACAGGTGTATTAATTTAAATTTTGGTGTAATGCCCATAGCACTGAACAGACATATAATTCATTTACTCCACGAATAACTATTGCTTATGCGCCCAATTTCGAAGCTATAAGAAACATAATGAATCAGGTGTATTCTAATTTTTCGCTGAGAGATAATGAGTACGTGATCTTCTCAACTTGTGATGAACTTCGCGAGAAAATGTCAACAGATTATTATTTAGTCGGAGTTTGTTTCAATGCGGCCAATTTTCAAATTGAAACAGAATCCATTTACAAAGTGGGCATTTATCCAAATAGATTGGATTATAGTATCATATTTCCCAGCGAGTTGCGTAGCTACCAACAACTTGGCGATACTTGGGATACAACAGATCTGTATGCGCAATTAGGTTCCTATGAGCATAGTCATGGATTTGAAAATTATATCAAAGAAGGATTTATTATGATACAAAAAATGATCTCAGAAGCATATATTCATTTAATTACAAATTCCACAGTACCTGCCGGTAATATTATAAATTTACGTAGATTTCCTGTAGCAGAACACTACTATGATCCCCTTTCGGATGTGTTGGAAGTACGCTTATCTTTGCTGCTGGTCGGAGCGTATACGCCTTTGATATTATATTTAGTTTGGGTGTGGAAAGTAATTTAAATATTTTTGTGAATAAATGTTTTAATTTTTCTAAAATACTTGCAGTTCTTAGTCCATGAACGTGAGGCCAAATTGGATAAGTTATTGGGAATTTTGGATGTGACACCCTTGGAGCAGTTCTACAGTTGGTTCGTTTTTACGATGGCTGCAATGTCAGTCGGCACTATTATTTTCCTAATTATCTTAAAGGTATGTTGCATGATTATATGATTAGTTTTTTTTTTGTTCTTGTTTGTGTTTATTTGATAGAAACTATGGCGTACTTAACGATCGTATTTATACTTTTTTTTCGCAGTAGGTATACTTTTTTTGGATTCCAAAAATGGATACTACTGATTTTTCCATTCATATGAAATAATACTTTTATTCAGGGACGTGAACCAGATGGAAAATTTGGTCGGTTCGGTTCAGCGATTCGAACCGTTTTTGCACTTTTGGATTGGTTCGTCAACGCGGTTTTTTTGGTCTTTAAACCGGTTCGGTTCAACGGTTCGAAAAACAAAAAAATAACGCGCAAGTTTAAGTGTCGAGTGTCAAGTGCAACAACGCGCAAGGTTAAGGGTCAAGTGTCTGTCAAATGAGATGGGTTGCCTTTACATTATATATTGTCACATGGTAAACAAACATGGTAGGTATTACCATGTTTAACAAAAAGAAAAAAAAAAGTGAGTACATTTATCTATTGAAAATTGGTTGAAACAAACCTTTAAACCGTTATGGAAAGTAGTTCGGTTTTCGGTTCGGATCAAACATTTGTGGAAAATTTCGGTTCGGTTAATGGTTCAGTTAATTAATAGAAAAAAGCGGTTTTCCGGTTCAAAACCGGTTCGGTTCAAAACCGGTTCACGTCCCTGCTTTTATTTGCTACCAAAATTTTTTGATGCACAGAAGTAGTATAGATTTATCAGTCGTTGATACAAAACGATATAAGCTAACAGCGAATTGTTTGTGGAAACACGCTATACATTCAGTCATGTGAAAAAATTTGGAAAACGATATTTTGACAATTTTTGATTAATTTTATTTCGTTTGTTTAATATTTTTTTTTTTTTAGGTTTTATTAAAGTTCAGTTAATTATGTAATACTTAAACCCCATTAAAATCCACACATCAGACTTTATAGGAGAAATTTAAAAAATATTCACAACAACAACCTTTTTATTCATGGGCGATTCCACCGTCACGGGTGGGACATTTGAACCGATTAAATTGTTCTCTCTTGTTTAAATTTAAGTATAAAATACTGAATAATTCTACATTTTGATAAAGCTACACCTAATTGACTATTATATGATTTATTACAAAATACGAAAAAATGCCAGCTTACTTTTATATGGAAAAAATCACGGGTGGGACAAAAAAAAGAACCTGCTTTTGGGAGCAGATATATTTTACGAAAACTCTGCGAATTTATTTCACTTTTCTGTGTGAACTTGATGTCTTATAATAAAACAAAGAACCACGAGTGCAAACAAAGCAAAAACTAGAACAAAAATGATGGCTTTATTATAAAAAAAAATCCGAAGTTCCTCTGTAACGGGTGGGACACGTACAAATTTTTACATGAAAAGGAGCTTTTAGTGTGGTCCATATTAAAGACTAGTTGCTAAAAAATATAAGAAGGCGGGTAGGGATTAAATTCACTCACGTTTTATCTTAGTGTAGTGCCTTTTATATAGAAGAAAAAGCCTAGCACCGTTAGCAAAAATAAATATTAAAAATCAACGCGATCTCCTAGCGTCTTGAAATGTTAATTTTTTCCTACTTAAATTTAATACGCTATAAAAATTCTTACCTAGAATATTTCTAAAAATTATGAACAAAAAGTTTAAAATTTTTGGATGTAACTGTTAAAATTTGTTGAAATTTATAATTTTTGTACGTAGTTTGAAATGTGGATTTATGTGGTTCTGGTTATGTAATGTGCTAGACTTTTCTAAAAAAAAACTATTACCATAAAATTAACAAAAGAAAAACCCAAAACTGGTCAAAATATCATTTAACTTAATCAGCTGATCACAAGGGTTTATAGGTAATGGGCGAGTCCGTGCTTCCGCCCTTCTCCCCTGCGTCCACCTCAACAAACAAATAAAGCTTATCAGCCTTGTAAACCTACCTCTAGCAACTGTACCACCCGTAGCTGTCACGGGTGGGACATGCTTGACTGTTGAATTATTCTTAACTAACTATGTGAAAACGAAAATACAATTGAGGTAAACATTGAAAATGAAAATCTAGCATTATGTAACAAACCCGAAACACAACTTCAACTTCTGTAATTAATAATAACAACTTTTACCTTTTTTATCATGGGTGGGACAAGACCAATACTGCTTAATAGTAACTATGATATGGATAAAGCACTCACACAATTTATATTATAATTTTATTAAACGCTGATGAGTTTTTCTTA